TTGATTTAAATTGCTGTCTGCAATGGGAAAATGAAGCCAAAACTGACCAATATGTGGCTTTCGCAAGCTTGTTGGCATCCAACCTTTGTAATCCGAATATGACGAACCTTGATGTACTCCCTGGACAAGGGCCTTTTCCACTATCTAGTTGAATAATCTCTGCCCATCCTTGAGTCTTGCAGAAAACTATACTGATGAGACATCTGTATCTCTACTGCTGATCTCTATTTTGCTCTCTTGCCTTTTTTCAAGTCACCATCAGTCACCTGACTTTTCTCAAAGGGAAAGGGTGGCAAAGTCAAATAGATTTTATACATACGGAAGTTTTGTTCAGATCCTATTGGAATAAGTGTCAGGGTGCTACTTTAAGGTCAGTATAATTAAAGATTATTTTAATTTGTCTTATTCATGGACTTAATGAGTCTTTAAAAATAACACCCATGTTGACAATAAAATGTCATCTATCAAGCCATGTTGGGCAAGTTGTTTCTTTTCAACTGGACAACGCAGAGTTGAGGGAATGTATAATCTAGAACAGATGAACATTTGCTTGCAAATGAAAACAGAGTCTGCCTGTGAAATTGATGGGGAATAGTTACTCTGGCTCATATTTTAAGCTAGAGGCTATTATCTCCTCATTCCTTTCTTCTTTCTCATTATTGAACTGATGGTAATCAGTTAACATTTTAAAATTATCTACAAAAGCAGAGTCACATTCACTGCCAAAAGAAAATAGTCAAGCGCTACCCGGATTGACCAAAATGTTAATGAATGGTCCATTAGAAACAGCTGACTTTTGTCAGAACATTGTCTTCAGTGATCTTGGCATTTTGAGTGGCTTTGCTGATTTTATTGCCTTTCCTCTTCTGCTTTCCTTTTTAAAATGGTAAAATTAAAATGAATAGTTTTGTGCTACATCAAGTAAGACAGAAAGTTGAAATAGTTACTGTAAAGTCAGTTTATTATTGTGAGATCTGTTTCTGAAGAACTGACTTGTGAATGTGATTTGGATATTTAAGTATTTACTGATAGATAAAATACATTATGGGATATAACTGAAACTGTACGTTCCACATTAGTGTTTAGGTTTGCTAGACTTTAATTCACAAGACTGCCTTTGTATAAGTCATTGTGTGAAGAGCAAAGTATAAGCATTGTCTTCAGAAGGAATGAAATTTTTCAAAAAGTACAGTGACATTCGCATTATAGATAACATAGTTAGATGATGTGATATTGTTTCAGTAATTACAGAGTTAACCCTTTGGAATCTGGTCCAGGCTATGTTTGTACCTATCTGTTTTCAAACTTGTTAGCTGACTTTCACAGGCAATGGTAGGTATGCCCTCTCAACTGGGAAGATAGTTCTGTAGGTCTCTAATCTGTGCTCCAGTCGTTACTAATGGAATTCCAGTTGAATAGTGATTGTAACCTTTGTCTGACTTGCACAGAGTCAAAAACTAGGAGAAAGTTAGAACATAAAATAATAGGATTGGAAGGGACCTTGGAGGTCTTCTAGTTAAGCAGGAGACCCTCTACTATTCTGGACAAGTGGTTGTCCAGTCTCTTCTTGAAAACCTCCAGTGATGGAGTTCCCAGTTCTTTTTTAATTTAGTATGTTGCTTTCCCATTATGCTCATTTTTCTGATGGATTATTTATTTAATTAAAAAAACTATTTGTGCACTGTTGAAATGCTGAAGCAGTCTTCTTGTCTTTTACTCAGCTTTCTGATAACCCAGATGAAAAGTATTACAAAGTCCTTATTACTTACATGCCTGCAAAGCATGTTGCAGTACTTGTTCATTTTACACTTTTTGGGAGCTGGGGTGAAATTTTTCTGACAAATGGAATAATACACTTTGGAACCTGTTAAACCAGGGGTGTCAAACTCAATTTCATTGAGGGCCGCATCAGCATTGCGGTTGTCCTTGAGGGGCTGTGTAGGTGTGGCCAGGGTGGGCGTGGCCTACTGGGTGGGTGTGGTTGGAGTGGGTGTGGCCTATTGGGTGGGCATGGCTAGCTCTTCATTGTTCGCGTCAAGGGTGCCTGTGAGGCCTGGGCAGGAGTGGGATAGATCTGAGGGTCTCTTGTAGAAGGGGGTGGGACCGGGGCAAGCACCAAGGCATGGTCCACTGGAAGAGCCTCACTGTTCCTCTCAGGCCATGCGACGGGGAGCTGGATGGTGCCGCGGGCTTCCCGGAGCCCTGGGCAACAGAGGTCAAATGCCCAGCCTGGCCCTCAAGCACCCGCAGCACCAAGCCCAGCCCCACTACCCCAAGGGGGTGCCCAGCTGCACTTACCTCCTCCTCAAGGCTGCTGCTGCTGTGCCTGCTCTCCTTAGCCAGGTTGCTCATGATGGTTATGAGGGCAAAGTTAGAGGGAGGCCCACTCCCTCTCCATGGAGGAGACCCAGATTTGTATCCAAAGCTTCCTTAGCAATAGGATGGGAAACCCCCAGGATAGGCCAGGAGGAGGGGGCAAGGGGATGGTAAAAGGACAGCAGGGCAGGACTAAGGCAGGACTTCCCTCAGACCCTCTCTCTCCTTCCTTCCTTCCTTCCTTCCTTCCTTCCTTCCTTCCTTCCTTCCTTCCTTCCTTCCTTCCTTCCTTCCTTCCTTCCTTCCTTCCTTAACAGAGTGGTGGGAAAATATTTGAGATGAGGGAGGGAGAAAAACAGGCAAGAAACACAGCTGGGGAGGTGTCACCCTTCGTGAGGAATGAAGAAATACATCATCGCCTGGAAGTGGTGATGCGCAATGTTACCTGTGCAATGCCCTCCAGCCCCCAGCCTGCCTGGTTTTGGCAGGCAGCGAGGCGCTCTCCTCACAGGGCCAAGAGGCTGAGCCAGGCAGCGTGAATCTGAAAAGAAGCACAATGCCACCCAGCCCCCAGCCTGCCCGGTTTCGGCAGGCAGCAGGGCACTCTCCTCATAGCGCCGAGAGGCTGAGTAGGGCAGTGCGAAGCTCACCAGCTTTGCACCTTGCTGCCTGCTGAAATCGGGCAGGCTGGGGGCTGAGCGGCAGCGTGCTTCTTTTTGGATTCGCACCACCTGGCTCAATCTCTCGGCGCTGTGAGGACAGCGCACCACTGTCTGCTGAAACCCCTCCCCTGCAGCCCATCAAGCTGGATATGTGAAGTAGGCGAGGGCCATTTGCTGGCCACTTCAAGGCGATGGTGCATTTCTTCATTACTCACAAAGGGTGACACCTCCCCAGCATGCACACAGGGGGCAAGGCCAACGCGGCAGGGGCCGGTCCCTCGTTGTTTCCAGACAGCCTTGTGGAGCTAAGACTAAATGCGTTTCAGCATAGATGGCCACCATAAAATTGTACATTGGCTCCCGGGCGGCCTGGGCCAGGGTCAAGGCAGTGGGGGCCATTCCCTCACTGTTTCTAGGATGGCTTCATGGGCCACATGAAACCACATTGCGGGCCGCATCCGGCCCCCGGGCCTTGTGTTTGACATGTCTGTGTTAAACAATCTAATAATGTGGGTAGCTCAGGGAACATAAAATAGTACTGTAACATAAAAAAACTGATCTGCCAGGCTGTACACAGGTGATATTCTGTATGTCAGGCTAATGTTATACCCACAATGGTTCTTTCGGCCTAGATCCAGCAAACAATATTGAGTAAAATGTAAGAAAATGCAAAAAAATGATTGGTTGTTGTATTGCATATAAATATAACTTGTATATACAAATATAGCTCAACTTTATATAGAGAGAAGGAAATTGGTGCTCATATTAACATCTTTTCTATTTTCCTAGACTTTTAATGAATTTTTAACTGTATTTTAATTCATCTTGTTTTAGACTTTGAATAACAGTCTCTCTGTTGCCTTCTTTGCATTTTACTGGTATTTATTTATTGTATATGTTTTTATTCAAATTGTATATTTTAGTATGCTTTTCTGTAAATAGTGCTAGACAGGTTTTATTTTGGAGTGGTTTAAAAAAATAATAATAGTCTCTCCTTCTTCTCTCCCCCCCCAACTCTGACACACTTATATAATCCACATATTTGAGGGCTCAGTTTGACTTTGAACCAGTCACTGTTTATGAGTCTAACCCACCACTGAGGCTCACTGTTGTGGGGCTAAAAGAGTGGGAAATCTACAGGTAAACCTTAAATTCTTAATGAAAAGAATGGAACATAAACATGGCATAGATATTCTTCCAACGGTTCTCCATGTCTTAGGCAAAAAACATTCCTATTGACCATGGGCAGGGTAACTTTGATTGGAGACTTAACAGGCTGAATTTGAGACTTTAATACACTAACCATATGCTTTATTGATGAATAATATTTTGCCATTTGTCATTCTGTTCATTGAATGTTAGGATGTGAAAGTAGCTAAAGGTTATATAAATACTCCATGTAAACATCAATAGGGTGGTTTAGACCAAAAGGTCTATAAAACCTAAAGCAAATAGAATGCAGATACTGGGTACAGGCTGTTCTTTCTCTCTTTCTCTCCCCCCCATCTCTCTCTCTCTCCCTCTCTCTGTCTCTCTCTCTCTCTCTCTCTCTCACACACACACACCTGCCTATTTCTGTTCTCATTTCACACATCAGATCTTAGCATACTATATTAATTTCCAGGTTTTCTCTTTAATCAAAGGAGAAGACAAATAGCAAGGGCAGAGGTGAAAGGGGAATAAACTATCCACCTGCCTGCCATATACTATATATATTCTCTGCTTTCAGAGTAATCAGAGATGTGTTCTAAACCCAAGATTGTTTCCTAGCAATTGCACAAATTCATTTCTTATGTTATTCCCACCGAACTTCCCAAACTCCCTTTTTTACTTATAAAAAAGGTCATATTTATTTGTTTTATCTGCTCCGCAGCTGTGAGATAAACTAGGCTGTAGCAGTAGGACTGGCTCAAAGAACATCAACAAACTTTGCAGTACAATGAAGATGTGAATTCACGTGTGTTCCAATTATAGCATAACAGGGCTGTTTGAACTGCTGGATTATATTACTCTTTTTTACAGGTTCTACTCTCACGGCTGAACACCTGGGACCCTCAGCATCAAGCTCACCCACCTCATCTCCCAATTCATCTTCCATTCTCTGCAATGATGTTTCTGATCCTGTCCTATGTATATCTGGTTCTGGCCCACTTGGCAGCTCACTTAGTGGTGAGTATTTCTCCCACAGCACCAGGTTGCATGTCTTCCAGTTCTGAATATTTCATTATCTTATAAAACTGAAAATCCATATTCTTTTTTCTTTGTGATCACTCACAATGCACAAGGAGCAGGAGTTAAATTCTCTCTCCGCTAAAAAGAACAGAGAACTCAATATTTAAATACACAATATTTTAACAAATGGTAAACATTCAAAATATATGTAGTAGCAATATGGAATTAGCAAAGAGCACCATCTGTGGAGGCACAGGCCCAGTGCAATAACTTCTGGTGCCACTTAAACATTTTGNNAATAATAATAATAATAATAATAATAATAATAATAATAATAATAATAATAATAAAAGTTGGAAGGGACCTTGGAGGTCATCGAGTCCAACCCCCTGCTCAGGCAGGAACCCTACACCATTTCAGACAAATGGCTGTCCAGTCTCTTCTTAAAAACTTCCAGTGTTGGAGCATTCACCGCTTCTGGAGGCAGGTTGTTCCATTGGTTAATTGTTCTAACTGTCAGGAAGTTTCTCCTTAGTTCTAAGCTGCTTCTCTCCTTGATCAGTTTCCACCCGTTGCTTCTCGTCCTGCCTTCAGGCGCCTTGGAGAATAGCTTGACTCCCTCTTCTTTGTGGCAGCCCCTGAGATACTGAAACACTGCTATCATGTCCCCCCTCGTCCTTCTCTTCGTTAAACTAGACCAGGGGTAGGCAACCCAAAACACTCAAAGAGCCACTTGGACCCGTTTCCCACTGAAAACAAAACACTGGGAGCCGCAAAACCCTTTTGGTATCTAAAATGAAGCTAACACTGCATATATCCTTTTTTACCTTTATTATAGGTGTGTGTGTGTCCACACACACACACACACACATATCATAAAGGTAAAAAAGGATATATGCAGTGTTAGCTTCATTTTAGATGTCAAAAGGGTCTCTCTCTCTGTGTCTCTCTCTCTCCTCTCCCTCTCTTTCTCTTCTTCTCTCCCTCCCTCTCCCTCTCTCTGATCTTCTGCTCACCTGGCAAGCTGGCTTCAAGCTGTTCTCCAACAAGCTCAGGGGTAGGCAACCTCGGCTCTTTTATGACTCATGGACTTCAACTCCCAGAATTCCTGAGTCAGCATAGCTGGGCTAGCTAGCTCTCTCCTGCCCTTCCTGCTTCCTGTTTCCTGCAGAGACGCAGCAAAGGAGGAGCTCCGCCCAATAAGCTTTTCAGCTCCTCGGAGAACACCATGAGTCCACCATCTTTTTTACATCACGGTGACCAAAACTGGATGCAGTATTCCAAGTGTGGCCTTACCAAGGCATTGTAAAGTGGTATTAATACTTCATGTGATCTTGATTCTATCCCTCTGTTAATGCAGCCCAGCACTGTGTTGGCTTTTTTGGCAGCTGCAGCACACTGCTGGCTCATATTTAAGATATTGTAAGCACTGAAAGATGTTTCATATGCCAGAATTCATAGCATAGTAAATCTGACTGGAAAAGTCATTGTAGAAAAAACATGTAATAAAAAGTTATGAAAACAGTAGATTCTGAAACTTATATATTGTTTCAGTAACGATATAAGTCATCCAAGAGATTGTTATGTAGGGCTGTAGTATTTTGGAAATAACACACACATAACAAATATACATAAAGAGAATTTAACACTTCTTTTGATTTGAATGTTCTATCTAGTTTAGTATTTGTCTATTGATGATGCTTTTTGGGAGTTTTTTAAAAACGTGGTCACAATCTCCATATTTTATCCTTTGGCCTAGAAATCCTAGGGCAACTGTAAAGCTGGTTACAGATTTAAAAAGTAAAAGTGTCTCTTATTTTGCAGGTACGGCTCCAAACTCTCCAATCAGTATGCCAGAATCCCCTCTTTCCTCTTCCATCTCAGGAACTTGGAATGATGAGTGTACTATCTGCTATGAGAATATGGTGGATACTGTGATTTACTCCTGTGGACATATGTGTCTGTGTTATACATGTGGGCTCAGACTCAAGAAGATGGCTAATGCCTGTTGTCCTATCTGTAGACGTTCCATCAAGGACATAATCAAAACCTATCGCAGTACTTAAAGTTGCATGGCAGGAAGGGTAGGAACTAGGAAGAGGATCTTCATAAAACCTAACCAGGACAAGGAAGGTGGGAGGAAGTGGTTCCCTTCTTTAAATATGTAGCTAATTCTGAATGTGGTTAACCGTGGGCACAGCCTTCTCCCACCTGAAATTTGAGGGCTAAAAATGTCTTCTTTCCTTGGCATCTAACAAAGTGCTCCTGTGAACATTTAATATGTGTAGCCAGCAAGAAAAGCTGGATTTCATGTCTACCTTTCCTTGGCTCCCCATTGCATTTTTCCTGTCCTTTCTTCCCAGTTGGAAGGATTACAAGGATCAAAGAAGAAAATAATGTGAAATTAAGCAGATTTTCATGTTACATTAAGTGAACTAAATGAATGAAACAAGAGGAGTAGAATAAGGACAAATGATTTCAGTACTAGAACTACCTTCATGGGCAAGAGAGCCTCACATAGGATTTCCCCCCAGTTTTCCTAATCATATCAGTGACTGCCATATTCTACAAGTAATTGTAATGCAGCACATGCTGCTACTAAGGAAGACTATGCTTGGATTGTTTTTTCTATGTAGTGCAGTGCACAGAAGACCAGCAGCTAACCGTTGACTTTGATTCTACTTTCTGTAGTTGTCCTCTTCTACTTTTTCAAGGCAGCAGCTGTTCATATCTCATAAACATGATATCACTTCCTTCTTTAATTACTTTCCTCTTTTACTGTTGCTTTCCAAAGTTCACTCCACTAGGAAGTGGTGCTTTGGGAAAATGATGGTACATGATGTCAGTTTTATTTTTAATTTGTCATTGGGCCATTCATTATGTATCCCAGGTTTGAAAGAAAAGAAAATGATGTTGTATAATCTTTTGCCAAAATGAATGTGTGTTACAGAGTTGGATTTATATTGTTGAAGGAAAAGAAATCAGGACCAAAATGGGTTTCATTTATTTTTTATTTGCCTCTTTGATTTAATGAAGGATTCATACATGAAGAACATGTTAGTTTTGCTTTCTCCTAGAACTGTATGTATCCTTGGCATAATTGAATTCTTGGAATTTTTTTCTGTCTCTGGTCACAAGTAATCATGTCATATTTTATGTCATTTTCAGTAGTCCATTGTTTTCTTGTTTTTAGCTGTTCCACTTAACAAATCTTAAATCAGAAGTTGCATTTCACAATTAATATATTCCAAATGAGCTAACTATGTCTGAGATGGTTGATTGAAAAATGACAACAATCTCAAATCCTAGCTCACAATTTCAGTTCCACAATATGGACAATCCAGGATTAGAGAGTGAATAGTTAAATTAAGATAGAAATGTAAGAAAAAAATGATTGACATGCCATTTTTCGTCCAGTCCAAATAATATTGTTTGGGCTGAACACTTCTAGTACATATGCTACAGTGCAGAAATTTTGCTGTACTGCATGGTTGACATATTTTATAATTAAGGTGATATTTCACAGAAAAAAAACATTCCATTTTATATGACAAATTGGCCGTCAGTATTCAAGAAGCTGCGTTCTCTACACATTTGAGATCTCAGTAATTAGATATACTGCCATTTGGTTGTTTTTCATCTACTATGATTGTGGAAGACTATCCGAATCCTCAATTAATGTTGTCTATCTTTGGGCTTCTTCAAATTACAGTAGCCATGTGGTGTTTAACAGAAATGCCCAACTCATACTATGCTAGTCCTATACCCCCAGTATATAAAATTAATTCAAGTGCTGGATAGTTGTTACAAAAATCACCTTGAATGGTTGCAAGCACCCAATCACTCAACATTGTAGTCTGGGAACCAGCAAGGATCTTGTCAGTATCAATACAGATCAGAGCTAGGGAAATGGTGCCCTACAGATTTTTTTAGGTTTTGATTTTCATCAGTTCTAGCAAGAATGGCCAAAAACAAGGAACTGTAGCAACTGCAGGCCCAAATATCTGGAGGACATAAGGTTGCATCTTTGGCCAGATCCTTATAAAGGGAACTAATGTACAACCAGATAGGTTTTCATGCTACAGTTCAAGTCCTATGTAGATGGGAAACTGGTTCAATGGGGTGAGAAATATGTGCCATTCCAGACATTACTGAACCACAATTACTAGCAGCCTTTGGCCAGCATGACTTATGGTGTTGGGGGATGGTTGCTCAGTAGCACTTTCAGGATTCTAGGTTCTTCTCTCCCATGTTATCATTCAAGAAACTTATTGCTGAACTAGTTACAGTTCTAAAATGGAAGAATTAGTTGTAAAGTGTTTGCTTGTTCCAGGAAATTCTGAAATGATTATGTCCTAGGTTTTTTTTTTAATAATCTCATTAAGCACTAGGTTATTTAATGTAAAGTGGACATTAAATTTATGCCACTCCACTCAGGAACTCCACGCTGTGTTTTTGCAAAGTCATTTGAACCAGGAGTTTTTGTTCCAATGATCTGAGTAATACAGCTGATAATATATGTCCTATTGCTACCAATGAAAACATCTAAATAAAGAATTCTAAGTTTAGATTGGAATCTTAAGTCACTTGAATTTGGCAGTGTTTCTGCTGAAATCAGTGGGACTTATTTCTAAATTAATATTGTTAGGAACAGATTATATGTTTCCTGCAAAATTCATAAAGAAATCAACATATTATATATATTTGTGGAATTAAAAAAAATTCTACAAGTACAAAATAATATTTGAATTGACAGGTAATGATAATTTTTTAAGGTTAATAAGATTTCATGCAGAGCAAATTTGATCTAATAAAGTTTTTTTACAGGGATATGCAACATTACCACTCACAATAGTTTTTTTCAGTTATGTTAATGGAGAAAGCAGATCTTCAGACTTTTGTCTGAAAAGGCAGCAAAAAAGATTTTGTGGGCATCAATATTTATAGGTTTCTTGGATATAATTGTGGATTTCAGAAGGGAGGCAACAAACCAGCAAAGGCCAATCCAGGTAACAATTGGAGATTATACATAATGTCCATTTCAAAGGTAAAACATTTTTACCACAAAGATGTTTAGGCTAGCATGTTAACAACTTGTAACATTACTTATTTTTCTCCTTTTTATGGAATGCTGTTTTGATAGGATATGAAGTTTGGGAAACTTAACCATAAGCTTTGTGCTTAGCAATTACTTAATACATTATTATAGTGTAGCTAGTACTGCTGTTGTGCATGGGAAAATATTGGCTTCATTAAAAATGCTAGAAATTTACTAATTAGGACTGTGCAGCATTTTGGATTCAAAGGGGGAAAGAGTACTTTGGAGCACATCTAGGAAGTCAAATAGCATCTGTGATCAAATCCTTAAAATAGCTGCCTCTTTAAGTAGAGCATGAATCCAGGAAAAGACATAGCAACTTTAATGATATTACTTTAAGGAGTGTTCTGCATTTGGCATGTGAGTGTCCCATGTGCCCACATACCTTTTCAATCCAAATTGCTGCAAGGCTCATCTTTTACATTCTCCCCATAATTTACATATAGTTTTGGCTATTAAACAATGTTGCAGACAAAAACTAGGGAAAATGTGCAAGAAAGATATTATAGTCTGCTGGATTTCACATTTGCAGTTCAGTCTACTTCATCATCCATTTGTTTGAATTACAATGATTTCTTTTCAATCTAATCTAATGGAAGATTGAAGTAGTCTTCTGATTCTTGTAATGGTCATGGATTTTGATTAATTTATGAATATATGAGAAAGACCTCCCAGAAATAGGTCAAAATAATGGTCTTCACTTTACATACCACAGTAATTTGTTTAAAACTGCACAAGCACAGCCTGAATGATATTAAAATTAAAAATGCATCTTTGCACACTAAAAATGTCCCTGCACTTTTTCATGTCCTTTGATATTTCTATAAATTGTGCACTAAGTTGCTCCTCCAACCCATTTCTAAGTGCAAAAGTAATGCTTATAAAGCTAAGCATTTCAAAAAAGCCTAATAATATTTTTTTGTTGATGCATTCTCATTCATTTAAATTCCTATTTCTTCACATCACGGACATGAATGAATGGGGCATGTGGGTGAGGTATTTTTTTTACTCCAAACAGCTAAAGGTATTTTTTTTCTATAGCCCAAAGAATAACTTTAACCCTTAATTCAAAATTGCACATGTGTAAGTCAAGTCTCTTTTGAATTCATGTTGTTCCCTGGTGTCTTCATGGATTATGCATACATCTCTTCTTGACCACTAATTGTCTAATAGGTGCAGTTCAATTCAGTTCCTTATATTTAGCTTATTGTACTCCTAATTATATCACACCAAAGCAAACATTATAAATACCTATGTTGAAGAAAAAGTCTGCAACCATAATAATTAAGAGATAAGGAAAGATTGTTTTGACTTGAAACTATGGCCTTCCCCCCCCTCAAAAATAACATTAATCCTCCAATTATCAATCTCTGCTGTAAATATCTTAACAATATATTTTTAAAAAAACATGTAAAAAAAGTCCAAAGTTATAAAAGGTAGGAAGCTTATACTAGACACATGTGTTCAGGTCTTAAGATCAATTTGGCTTTTTGCCAGAGTCATGTGGCTGTTTGTTCCAAGAAAGCATGGGGGAGGGGAGGGAAGAGTCGCCAGAAACTCCAACTGCAAACGCTCGCAGAACAGAACAGAATCACGGGAAAATAATAAGAGCCCTTTGCTGTTTTCACTTGCTTGGCATTGTGCGCACATGTAGATCAGAACCCAGTTCCTAAGCACCTGCACTTGTCTACTAAGCTGCTTTTTCTCCACCTCCCCTCCATCAGCAGCATCGTTTTGTCACATGGAAACCAAAAATATATTTGCATGGAAGAAAACTAGTTCAGGATGGCACTTGGGAGTGAAGAGAAAGAAGTACTAGAAAATAGGGAGGCTTCTCTTAACCATTATTATAAGGGTAGAACTTTATATACTTATGATCCAAGTTGGAACAGGTTTAGAGGAGCTAAAAAGGAAGATGAAGCAAAGGCGTTTTATGCAGGAGAGGAGCATTTCACGAGAATAGCAGCAAGCTCGGAGTTTGATTTCTTTTCCTCTGTGTCCCTGTGTAGAATCTGAAATAATTCCTGTGATTCAATGTCATTGACAAGAAGATTTTAATTTTTAAATGCTTTATTTATTTGTATGTTTATGTTTTCAAGACAGATATAAAAGTTTGTTCTATTCAGTGTGACAATTACATAGCTGTGAATAAAGTTGATTTAGGTAATCTGTGGAATTGCTGATGT